TGGTTTAGAAAATGCAATTATCTACAGTCTATGTATGCATATACATTAGCGAAAGGGGTTCTATTCAAATTATTTGACACGACCATTTATTCTTCCCATTCGCCAATAGCACAAGACTTTAAAATTTAACTTTGATTTCTATAAATTGCATTTCATACTTGCATATAATGTATGAAAATTTAGTCTTGGCATCAATTCAACCAAGTTTAGGCTCGCTTATAGATAAACGTTGCGGATATTTGGGAAGTCTACAATGCACGCTAGCAAGGGGAGGTGTGTGGACCTGACAATATAAGCATTATACTCTGAATAMAAAATTGACAATTATCCTTAGATTTATGCTACATAAAAAACATTGAACTGCTGGGATGATAGTGAGGATAACAGAGTCCTGATCGCTTTCAACCACACCAAGGAAATCTTTGTTTGATTGCCCTTTTACGAAGATAGACACACACTGTTTCTTGCCTATCTCCATTTCGAATACTTTTAGCATGTACTCACCTCATTTCCCGCTCCTTGTAAGAATTCTATTTCTTGTTGAGTAAAACTCGTCATCGATATCGACTTTACTCTTTGTGGTGGATTTAAACCTCGTCTAGAGATAGAAAAGACAAAAATCAGTCAGTTACAATGTCAAATTTGGCTCCAATTAGACAACCACGRTTAAACCGTGGAACCTTCACTTACAAAATTCCACTGCAAGAGGTACAAACGAAAGATCCGATCGTCATATTTACGTAAGTGGGTCCTCGTTGACCACAGTCGAAGCATTTTTTGTTGTGTGGCTGAGAAGCTAGCTCACGAAGGAGTTTGAGGTTCTTTTCGTCCAGTTTCTTCTTGGCCGAAGCCATCTTGAAAGGGATGAAGACACTGGTATGAACCGCTCATCATACACTGCGCTCCCACAACCGGCATATTTAATCAGGGAGGGGTGGGTAGGYGCAATTCGAAATTTGAAAGTCACGCTAAATAATATCAACCTTTTTTTGCCATTTACAAAGACATGGAGAAAAGAAAATACTGAACAAAAGTATGAATCATTAATAGCAAGGATCAATATTTTTTCAGGCTGAAATTTTGGTAATGTTTAAAGAATACAYAGGGATCCCATGTAAAGTTGTACATTTTTGGTGCCTGACTGTACACGATATGGTAGAGTAAGCGACAAATTGATCATGTAAATTCATTCAAATCGAAAGAATTTGCACTAATTATGCAACTGAAGCAAAAGCAACCAACACTTTTCTTAATAATTATTGTACCAAATAGTTCGAATTTGTATAAGTATAATTGTCAAATTTTACATACTATAATATTTTCAAAATGTTCTGCAGATAATTTTCTCAACAGAAAATTTTGCATTCTAATTTTGGATCTATGTGAAGAAACCATTCTCTTTTATTCTTGTATAAAACTGGACTTTATTCAATATAATAGRATAGTTTTCTACTTCTTTACTTTTGCTACCTAAATGTAATAGTTTTAACAATGTTTACGTCCCTTGGCATTGCAGGTTCATGATCATATTTGTCATGTGTGGGATTCCTGTTTTTTTAAAAACACTTAAAAGTACTAACTTACTAGGCTAGTTCTATTAAGTCTATTGTTTTAGTTTGAGTCCAAGTTAAATGCACTGCTATGTTCTATTATGTAAACTTGAAAAGAAAAATCTAGCATATCTTTCATTCGTCTAGTATTGCACCCAAAGGAAGTAACATAATCCTTTAAGTTATTCAATGAGCAATGGTTTTCACAAGTGATTGAGGCTTACATACAATTCCTTGTCTTGCAATTTGTCACTGTCGGTGTGTGACTACTAAGTCAAAAAAGAAAGTTGAATTTTGAATTACAGAAAGTCACACCAACTTAATACTACAATGTTCATGAAAAAAATGAGAACTACAGTATAAATAACCTGTGTACAGACCAAAATTTTCTCTGAACTTTGAGAGAATGTCAGTCTGTACACATGCTACAGTATAACAGATGCACCATCATGACATAAAATA